GGGTCAGGGATTCCCCGGGATGGCTCCGCTCCCACTCAAGTCCTGGAAGGATCCAGAGCCCTCCCACCCTGCCAGGCTGGATCCAGGGATGTGCTCAGCTCTCCCTGGAGCTGCCTCTGCTTCCACCCCCACGGGGTCAGGGATTCCCCGGGATGGCTCCGCTCCCACTCAAGTCCTGGAAGGATCCAGAGCCCTCCCACCCTGCCAGGCTGGATCCAGGGATGTGCTGAGCTCTCCCTGGTTTATTAACAGCAGTTAATTAGCAGCAGGTGCCAGAGCTTCCAACACCCCCAGCAACCAGCAGGAGCCCCCCGGGGTCGGCTCCCCCCTTCCAGCAGCGGGGAGCGATTCCCTGAGGAATGTTGCTCCTCCCGGGAGCCCCCCGTGGAGGCAGCTCCGGGGGGATTGGCCCAGCGGGGCAGGGAAGTGTCACATCCCGAGTTTTGGGGCTGACTTGGCAAGGACACGGCGTGGGACTGGGAGCTCGGGATCGGGAACGGGATGGGGGCAGAGCTGGGTGGGCTCTGGGCTCGGGGGGAGTGTCCTCATCCCAGTATGAACCAGTCAACCTGGGGAGGGGCGGTGGGAGGGACGGGCTCAACCATCCCGGGTCCGTGATTATCCCTGGGATAAACCCCATCCCGAGTCCTCTCTCCTCCCGGGGCCGCGTGGATCGGCATTCCCGGGGTGGCCGGAGGGTGACATCCCGCCGGGTCACTTCTCCTCCCTCTCGGCGGCCCCGCAGAGGTTCGGGTGCTCTGCCAGCGTCGCCCTGACTTTCTTCTTCTCCTTGAAGCGCCCCGAGTGGGAGACCTTGACGTGCTTCCCCTTGGTGCTCTTGTCCACGAGCTTCTCCAGGCGGGCGGTGAAGCCGGGGGGTCCCTCGGGGCCGGTGCCCTCCTGGGGGTCCCCCCCGGGGGCCGTGGGGCCGTCGGGGGTCTCGTAGAGCACCGTGGGCGCTGCCTGGCGCTTCCTCAGGAACGTCAGCTTCCACCAGCCGTGGCTGTCGGCCATCCTGGAACGGGAATTTGGGGGGGGTCGTGCTCCCTCCTGTGTGTGGGGGGCGTTCCTCGGACCCCCGGGATGTGATTCCAGAGGGATGGAAGCCGGCGCTGGCTTCGCTTGCGGTGCTTCCCCGGTGGGATCCGCGTGGGATCGGGGATGGGGGAGCACCCCGCGGGTACCAGGAGGGGATGCTCCACGGCTTGGGAATTCCGCAGCGCCGGGAAAAGGCCGCCGGCAGCGCCCGGGAGGTGCCTTATCAGCCACGTGTAGCGGGGCAGGGAGGGAGCCCGGTGAGCAAACAGGAACAGGAACTGGGAGCAGGTGGGAGCTGGGGAGGGGCCGGGGTCCCACCCCGGCATTGGGGTTGCCTCTCGCTGGAGGGGACGGGCGGGAGCGTTGGAAAGGCTTGGGAATGTTCCGGGAACGCTCCAGGAAGGCTCCAGCGATCCAGGAAGGCTCCCGGAGCCGCGCGTGGCTCCAGGGCAGGAACCCAGGAAGGCGGAGGAGCCAAAGGCTTCCCTGGCCGCGGGCAGGGACGGGATTCCCGGCGCCCTGTGCCCATCCCGGGGGTCGGCGCAGCCCCGTGTCCCCCCCGCGGGGCTGGGCCACCCCCGCCCCCTGCCCGGCCCCTCCCCACTGTCACCCCCTGGCATCAATTTGGGGGGATAAAAAACCCCCCTTGTCCTCGCTGGAAATGAGGGCGAGGTCACAAAAATTAGGGCCACCAGTGGGGTGGTGGCCCCTGTGTCCCCCCACGCCCCCCCCGTGCCAGAGCCAGGTGGGACCACCCCCGACTGGTGTCCCCGGGGTGTCCCGGGGGTGTCCCGGGGGTGTCCCCGGGGTTCCCACACCCCGTCCCCACCTCGGACACCCCGTCCCTGTACCTGCTGCTCCCACGCCCGGGGTGTCCCGGGGGTGTCCCGGGGGTGTCCCGGCCGGGGGGCGCGGGCAGGTGCCGTTCACCTGCCGCCGTCCCGGTGTTCCCGTCAAGGTGAACCCGCGCCCAAACCCCTCCTGCCGGAGCAAACAGCGGGGCCGGGCCAGGCTCGGCTGAATATTCATGACGGGGAGCGGTGCCAGCGCCGCCCGGGTGGCCCTGGGTGGCTCTGAGTGGCCCCGGGTGGCTCTGGGTGGCCCCGAGTGGCCGCAACCGCACCGGGCTGGCCGTGGGGGCCACGATGTCGCCGCCCCGACGGCCCCGAGGTGGCACATGGACCCGAGGATCGGGCAGCCCGGGGGTCCAGGCTCCGGCTGCCGGTGGGATCGGCCGAAACGGGGCCGGTTCGTGCCTCCCGCTGCTCCCCACGGGGTGTCCCCGCACGGGGGGTGTCCCCGCCTGGGGTGGAGCTGGTGGCTCCCCGGCTCTGGACCTGGGGGTGGCACGTCCCGGGTCCCTCGAGAAGCGCAGAGTCAAGATCCCCATGGGAACCGCAGAGGGTATCCCAGGTCCCTTGGGGATTCCTGGGAGGGGATAAAAGTGATCCCAGATCCCGGGGGGGGGGCGAGTCAGAACTGATCCCAGGTCCCTCATGGGTCCATGGGGAAGAGTTAGAACTGATCCCAGATCCCTCATGGATCCACGGGGAAGAGTTAGAACTGATCCCGGGTTCCTTGTTAGGACATCCAGTGGTCCCTGAGGGATCTGGGATCTGCTCTAGGACACCCCCCCAGAGATCCCCAAGGGATGTAGGGCAGGCTCTGGGGATCCCGAGGGGATCTTGGTTCTGTGCTGGGGCATCCAGTGCTTCCCAAGGGATCTGGGATCCCCGAGGGATCCGGGATCCGCTCTGGGGACAACTGGGGATCCCCCCCGGATCTGGGGTGTGCTTGGGACCGTGAGGGGCGGCTGTGGAGGTTCCCTGGGGGATTCCCGGCTCTGCCCTGGGGCTTCTCCGGGATCGGGAGTGGGATCGGGACCCCCCGAGGGAGACCCCGCGCTCCCATTGGTCCGGGTCGGCCCCTCCCCTTCCCCACTCCAGCCAATGGCGATGCCGGCACGTGGCGCTGCGGCCAGGATGCCGCGTTCTGATTGGTGGGGAGGCGGGCCCTTTGGACAGAACACGTTTTGATTGGCTGAGGGGCGCGCGCCGAGGCAGAAGATTGGCTGCGGCGGGGAAAGGCGGAAGTGGCGCTGATGGCGACATGGAGGTGTTGGATCGGGACGGGATCGGGATCGGGAAAGGGGCCGGGAGCGGGGCCAGGGCCGCGTTCGGGGAGCGGGGAAGGGTCCCAGGCCCGGGGCAGCGGGGACAGGCCGTACCCGGGCGCTGGAGCGGGAGGTCTTCCCCCTGACCCCGGTCCCGGTGCTGCTCCCGGTGCCGATCCCGGTCGGGCTCCTCCAGCCCCGCTCCCTCCGTGTCCCCCCCGCAGGTCCCTCCCCAGGACTACCGGAACGTGCCCATCGACATCCAGACCAGCAAACTCCTGGGTGCGGGAAAGTCATCCCGGGATTTGGGGACCCCTCTGTCCCCTCCGGAGCCGGGGAGGGAGCCGGGAATTCATCCCAGTGTTTGGCCCTCCACTCTGGCTTCCCCTCTTTCCCCTCCAGCCCTTCACAGACCTGGGAATTCATCCCAGTGTTTGCCCCCCACCCCAATCCCCCCTTTCCCCACCAGACCTGGAGAAGATCTGGGAATTCTTCCCTATCTTTGTCCCCCCCTTGAGCCCCCTCTTCCCCTCCCACACCTGAGAAGGAGCCGGGAATTCCTCCCACCGTTCCTCCCCCTGGAACACGCAGGGTCTGTGCTCCCTTCCCACCCCTGGAGCCTGTCTGGGGGGGTCACCCCCACCTTGTGCCCCCCCAGGTGACCCCCTGTTCCCCCCTGTCCCCAGACTGGCTCGTGGACAGGCGCCACTGCAGCCTGAAGTGGCAGAGCCAAGTGCAGCTCATCCGGCAGCGGATCGACGTGGCCATCCAGGACATGCCGGAGAACCAGGAGATCAAACAGCTCCTGGAGGGATCCTGTGAGTGGGATCAGGGGGCTGGATCCCTTGGGAGAGCCGGGAGACGGGCTGGGAGCCTGTTCCCAAGGGTTTGGTGGAGGTTTGGTCTCCCCTGAGCCAGGAGATGGGAGCTGGTGGAGTCGGGAGTTGGGGCTGAGCTGGGAGGGGGTGACACCCCCCGGACTTCCTGGGGTGATCCCAGGCTTCCCAGTGATCCCAGCCCATCCCCCCACCCCAGACCTGCACTACTTCCACTGCCTGAGGATCGTGGAGATCCTCAAGGGCACCGAGGCCTCCACCAAGAACCTCTTTGGCCGTTACTCGTCCCAGCGGATGAAGGTGAGACGGGGCTGGGGGGGCTCAGCCTTCCTCACCATCCTCCCCTTCCTCACCCTCCTCATCCTCTGCCTCCTTTTCCTCCTTTTTTTCCTCCTTTTTTTCCTCCTCTTCCTCCTCACCTTCCTCATCATCCTCTGCCTCCTCTTCTTCCCCCCCAGGACTGGCAGGAGATCGTGGCCCTCTATGAGAAGGAGAACACCTACCTGGGTAAGGCAGGGGGGCTGGGGGGCTCTGGAGGGACCCTGGGGGGGTGGTGGGATCTCCAGACTGGGCTGAGGAAGGGACAGGATGTGCTGGAATTCCAAATCCTGCCGGAATGAAGCTCTGAGGGGTCTGGGATGCCCCAAGACCCGTGTGAGTGGATGGAATTCGGCCTCCAGCCTGGGATGGGGTGGGCAGGACACGATGGGATGGGACCCCCAGGTTGCCTGGGGCATCCCAAGGACCCCCACGGGTGGGTGGGATCCAACCCCCAGCCTGGGACGGGGAAGGGGCGGGATGTGCTGGAATGCCAAATCCCGCCGGGGTGGAGCTCTGAGGGGTCTGGGGTGCCCTGAGACCCCCCTGGGTGACCCCCCCTGGCCTGGGTGCCCCCCCAGCCGAGCTCTCCAGCCTCCTGGTCCGCAGCATCAGCTACGAGATCCCGTCCCTGCGGAGGCAGCTCGGGAGGTGCCAACAGGCCCAGCAGGACTTTTCCCGGCGGGAAGAGGAGTGTCAGGTGGGAGCAGCCGAGCTCAGGGAGCGCTTCCTGGCCTCCTGCAAACAGTATGGAATCACTGTGAGTGCCTGGGGGGGACCAGCAGCCCCGAAACCAGCCCCCAGCCTGCCCCAAAACAGCCCCCAAACCCCGAAAACAGCCCCCCCCAAAATGGCCCCAAACCCCTCTGAAAATAGCTCCCACCCCAAAAGAGCCCCAAACCTTCCAGAAACAGCCCCAAACCCTCCCAAACAGCCCCACCTCCCCAAAACAGCTCCCACCTCCCAAAAAACAGACCCCAACCTCTGAAAACAGCCTTCAAAACCCTTCAAAACAGCCCCTTCCCATCCCAAAACAGCCCCCAAACCCTCCCAAACACCCCCTTCCCCCCGAAACAGCTCCCACCCCTCAACAACCAGCCCCAAACCCCACAGAACAGCCCCCTCCCACCCCAAAACACCCCCAACCTCCCCTCAAAAGAGCCCCTGGCACCCCCAAACAACCCCCACCCACCCAGAGCAGCCCCCACCCCCCCATCTGTCCTGGGAGGGCTCAGACTGGCAGCAGTGTCCCCATGGTGTCCCCATGGTGTCCCCATGGTGTCCCCACTCCCAGGGCAGGAGCTGGGGGTCCAATGGTGACCCCACACCCCCCCATGTCCCCGTCCTCCCCCCAGAGCCCCCCGAGGGGGGGNCACCCCCTTCCCCCCGAAACAGCTCCCACCCCTCAACAACCAGCCCCAAACCCCACAGAACAGCCCCCTCCCACCCCAAAACACCCCCAACCTCCTCTCAAAAGAGCCCCTGGCACCCCCAAACAACCCCCACCCACCCAGAGCAGCCCCCACCCCCCCATCTGTCCTGGGAGGGCTCAGAGTGGCAGCAGTGTCCCCGTGGTGTCCCTGTGGTGTCCCCATGGTGTCCCCACTCCCAGGGCAGGAGCTGGGGGTCCAATGGTGACCCCACACCCCCCCATGTCCCCGTCCTGCCCCCAGAGCCCCCCGAGGGGGGGTTTTGGCTGCCTGTCCCCCCCCAGTGACACGTCCCCCGGTGTCCCCAGGGTGACAACGTGCGGCAGGAGCTGCTGGCCCTGGTGCAGGACCTGCCCTCGCTGCTGTCCCGTGTCGGGGACACCGTGGGGGACCTGGGGGAGGCCATCGAGCTCTACCAGGCCTGCGTGGGCTTCGTGTGTGACAGGTACGGGGACAGGGGGACAGACCCTCGGGGACAGAGTGACAGACCCTGAGGGGACAGACCCTGGGGGACAGGGGCACAGGGGTGGGGGGACAGACCCTCGGGGACAGGGGGACAGAGACAGACCTGGGAGACAGATCCTTGGGGACAGACCCTCAGGGACAGAACTCCAGGGACAGGGAGAGGAGGACAGACCCTGAGGGACAGGGACAAGGGGACAGGGACAGGGGGACAGACCCCTGAGGACAGACCCTCAGGGACAGGGGGACAGACGCCTGGGGACAAATCCCTGGGGACCAACCCTTGAGGACAGACCCCCAGGGACAAGGACAGGAGGGCAGACCCTTGGGGACAGACCTCCAAGGACAGGGACAGGGGGACAGACCCTCAGGGACAGAACCCCAGGGACAGGGAGACAAACCCTTGGGGACAGACCCTTGAGGACAGACCCTCAGGGACAGAGTGACAGACCCTAAGGGGACAGGGGGACAGACTCCTCAAGGACAGCTCTTGCCCCCTGTCCCCACTGAGGAGCTGCCTCCCCAGTCTGGGGCTCTCTGGGTGGGGTTGGGTGGTCCCCCTCCTCCCCTTTGTCCCCCCCGTGTCCCCAGCCCCACCGAGGTGGTGCTGCCTCAGGATGATCCCCCCCCAATCCCTGGTGTCCCCCCCATGTCCCCAGCCCCTCGGAGGCCGTGGTGCCCCTCCTGAGGCACGTGTGTGCCCGCGGGAACACCACGGTGCAGGAGTGGCGGATGGGCCGGGAGCCGCGGCGGGTGGAGCGGCCGGAGCTGCGGGAGGAGGAGCCGGAGCCGCCCCGGGAGGACACGGTCAGTCCCTCTGAGGGACCCCAAATTCCTCTGCGGGGCCTTGTCGGGGTCCGGCTGCTCCCCCTCCCTCCCGAAAGGTTTCAGCGGGGTCCTTCCCACAGATCGACTGGGGGGATTTCCCGCTGGATCCCCCCCCGGGAGGGGATGGAGGAGCTGCCGAGGGGGGCGAGGAGATCGACTGGGGGATCACGGTGGAGCCCAGTGCTCAGGTGTGTGACACCCCCCCGGGGCTGGGATTGCCCTGCTCCAGGGCCTGGGGGTGTCCCGGCCCCACCCATGTCACCAAGTGCTCCAACCCCACCCAAAACAGCCCCTAAACCCTCTTAAACAGACCCCTTCTCCCCAAAACAGCCCCTAAACCCTCCTAAACAGACCCCTTCTCCCCAAAACAGCCC